AGTCTTTCCATTTCCTAACAAACGGGGCAGTATCATTCTTCCTGATGGAGGCATAGAATTCCAGTGTGTGTGTGTGTGTGTGTGTGTGTGTGTGTATGTGTGTGTGTATCACATTTTCTTGATCCATTCATCTACTGAGGGGCATCTGAGTTGGTTCTATATCTTAGCTATGGTAAATAATGCTGTGATAAACGTAGTTGTGCTGGTAGCTTTATTATGGCCTTGTTTGTGGTCGTTTGGGTAAATGCCCAAAAGTGGGATTGTGGGGTCACAAGAAAAAGGGCAATGAAATCAGAAACAGTGACCATGAAGAATAAACCAGAGGGGAAAAATGAAAGACAAAAGAAATAACTGCAAACAGTACACTAAAACAAAAAGGACAAAACCACACCAAGAAACCCTCTTGTTTCCATATTATGGGGATCATTTTGATTAGCACTATTTTATGTGGTCATATGTACTGCTAGAAATATCCTAAGCATATACTAATTATTACAAATGAGGGAAACCATGGAACCTATGTTTCTTTGAGTCTGGCTTATTTTACTTAATATGATTTTTTTCCAAGTCTTCCCATTTCCTTATGTTGGGACAATGTCATTTTTTTCTCTGATGGAAGCATAGAAGTCCATTGTGTCTACTACGTTGGAAATGAACTTTGCAACTCGGGGGTAGAGGGAATTGGGGGAGGCGGAGGGAAAGCAGGAGAAAATGAGGGAAGGACTAACACTATTTGAAAAGAAATGTACTCATTATCTTACTTACAAAACGGGAACCTCACTGTACATCACCTTTACAGTAAAATTATTAAAATTATTGAAAATAGAGGCAGGGTTGTTTTCTTTTAAAAATAGAATTTAAATCCCTTTCTGAGACTTAGCTTTTCTGTTATTTTTTTTCTCATCATCTTTGAGCTGGGGAATCTTCTTGGCTCCCTTCTTTTCTTTCCTCATTTTGCACCCTATGAAATGTCCTAGTTCCTGAATTATAGCATCCAGGAGATGAGATTTGTGTTTTCACCGGTGGTCTGGGTGAAAAATATTACTTTACAGGTTATTATTTGTATTATTTAGTATTAATATCCCTAATCTTTCACATAACATTCTAGGTTAAAAAGCCAAAGCTGAGGTCCTTTCTTTACCAAGGCAAACAGAACATCTCATTTTGAGACAGAAAGTGATATTTTCCTTCATAAGTTTTCCCTGAAATTGATTTCAGTTGGTATAGAAGAAGAGGTGAGGGTCAGTTTTGACAGGTGAAGCATATCTTTACTTGAACTATCCTCTGACTTATTTTACTTTGCATATGGTTCAAAGAGAAAACAAGTAAAAAGGAAGAAAAAACTGTCAATGTACTTGCCCTCCATCTTGATTTATCACCTGTACATTTTCCTAGTATATAATTACCTATTTAGGGCTGGGAAGGTGGCTCAGTGGTAGAGCGCTTGCCTTGCATGC